CCGGCCTGGTGTGGTGGCTCACACCTATAATCCCAGTACTCTGGGAGGCCGAGGTGGGTGGATTGCTTGAGCTCACAGGTTCAAGGCCAGTTTGAGCAAGAGCGAGACCCCTGTCTCTAAAACTACCATGTTTCCCAAAAATAAGACCTACCCCAAAAATAATCCCTAGCATTTCTATGCATTTGTCAAATATAAGCCCTACCCTGATAATAAGACCTAGTGATGTGCATTTCGGCAGGGAGAGGAAGACATCCCCTGAAAGTAAGCCCTAGTGTGTCGTCTTGAGAAAAAATAAATATAAGACAGTGTCTTATTTTCGGGGAAACACAGTAGCTGGGCCATTATGGCAAGCGCCTGCAGTCCCAGCTACTCCGGGAGCTAGGGGCAAGAGAATCACTTGACCCTAAGAGTTTGAGGGTTCTGTGAGCTGTGATGCCAGAGCTCTCTACCGAGGGAGACAAAATAAGATTCTGTCTCAAGAAAAAAAAACAAAACAGCTCCCTTTGCTCAGTGGGGAGAGTGCTGGCCATATACACCCAGGCTGGCAGGTTAGAACCCGGCCTGGGCCAGCTAAAACAACAAAGACAACTGCAACAACAACAAAAAATAGCCGGACGTTGTGGCTGACGCCTGTAGTCCTAGCTGCTCAGGAGGCTGAGGCAAGAGAACTTCTTAAGCCCAAGAGTTTGCGGTTGCTGTGAGCTGTGACGCCACAGCACTATACCCAGGGTGACAGCTTGAGACTCTGTCTCAAAAAATAAAAATAAAAAAAGAATGACTTGGTGTCCATACCTCAGTGGTTAGGGCGTTGGCCACATGTACCTCGTTTGTTGCGTTCTAGCCCGGCCAGGCCTGGTAAATAACAACAACAAAAAAATAGCCAGGGCTTATGGCGGGCACCTGTAGTACCAGCTACCTGGGAGGCTGAGGCAAGAGAATCGCTTAAGCCAGTGGTTCTCAACCTTACTAATGCTGCAGCCTTTTAATACAGTTCCTGTCGGTCGTGACCCATAGGTTGAAAACCACTAGCTTAAGCCCAAGAGTTTTAGGTTGCTGAGAGCCGTGACGTCACAGCACTCTACCAAGGGCAACAGAGTGAGACTCTGTCTCAAAAAAAAAAAAAAAGAAAACAAAAGTTTTAAGTCTCCATCAGTAATGAGATACTTTAAATCTTTAATCCTTGGGTTCTGACTATAGCAGTTATTGTGCTTATTTGCTACTTTTACTCTAGTAGTAGAAATTCAGTTAGACTTTTAAAAAATTCATCTCAGGCTGTTTTGTCCTCTCCTATTGAGATTATGAACCTCCTGTAGTCATTTCTGGCTCATTACAACCACTACTATTGATTTTTATTAGTTTAACTCCTTCTTCCTTTCCTGTGGCCTGGTCACTACCATTTTAAGAGAATGTGTTCTGTGTACTTTGATTAGAAATCATTTTTTGCTGTGTGTGTTCTGACTCCTTTCATTTCTCTAGATGGAAGTGAAGTACAGTGTTAGGGCCAGAAATAAGTCTTACTGTTGGGAGAACGTGTATATATATCCACCTTCCATATTGCTCTCATTTCCAATTCATATCATTAGTCTGGAGTTGTTGCTTGATCCCAGAATGTGTAGTAAGGGATTGTTGTCAAGTATAACACTTTATTCCATATCCCTTGCCCAGGCAGGTTAAGAGATAATTGCCCTAATATTAGGTTAAATCTGACTCCTAAATATTTAGCTTTTCCTCATGTTTTTAAACATGTGATAAAGGGATTCCTTTTTTTTTTTTTTTTTTAAGAGACATAGTCTCTATCACCCTCAGTAGAGTACTGTGGCATCACAGCTCACAACAACCTCCAGCTCCTGGGCTTAGGCGATTCTCTTACCTCAGCCTCCCAAGTAGCTGGGACTACAGGTGCCTGACATAACACCCAGCTATTTTTTTGTTGCAGTTTGGCTGGGGCCAGCTCCCTACCCACTGAGCCACAGGTGCCACCCTAGCCTCTAATTTTCTGAGTGATGCTTGTAGAGAACGGTGTTACTTGGGGTCAGATATAGTCTGGGCATTGAACACTCCATGCTGCTTTTCATGATTTTCAAGGTGGTCTATCCTCTGGACATTATCTCCTCCTGGCATCAGTTTCTCTTTGTAATGTTACCAGTTGTATTCTTTGATTCAAAAATCCAAATTATTTTAAATTCTCCCATACTCTTAAGTCCAACTAGTTATTCAGCTTTAAGGTAGAGCTCGTGCAGTCTCAAAAGCAGGAGAAGTTGCTTCCTTTCTCCCTGGTATTATTGCCTCCACTCCAGGTCATGTCCCTACCCCCCTACCCACACACACACAATACACACACTAAATCTTTTTTTTTGAGACAGAGCCTCAAGCTGTCCCCCTGGGTGGAGTGTTGTGACATCACAGCTCATAGCAACCTCCAACTCCTGGGCTCAAGCGAGTCTCCTGCCTCAGCCTCCCAAGTAGCTGGGACCACAGGCGCCCACCGCAATTCCTGGCTATTTTTTGGTTGCAGCCGTCATTGTTGTTTTGGTGGGCCTGGGCTGGATTCGAACCCGCCACCTTAGGTTTATGAGGCTGGCGCCTTAGCCACTTAAGCCACAGGCGCCAAGCCCACACTAAATCTTAATTGCATACACATACTTCTCATTGGCACTCGGATGATGCCTGCATTTTTTATCCCAGTGTTCAAGGTCTTCTGCATCTACCCCCAGTCTTTTTAGCCTTATTTACCACCACTTCCCCACAATATGTCCTATAATTCCTGGCCAATCCTAGAACTTGACTGGGGTTTTTGTGGGCTGCAGCTTCTACCAGTCCTGCTGCAAACTTGAAGTGATCTCTCTTGCCTCTGACTACCCATCATACTTTATTTGACTCTTTCTGTTTATCTTATGGCCTATATTGCCCAAATAATGCTTTGCAATTGACCAGAGTGCTTTTGAATCTGTTGCTTTATATAATCTTCACAACTAGTCTGTGAGGTACAAAAACAGGTGTGTCTTACTTATCACAAGAGAAGAAACCAAAACTTGAGGAGGGAAGAGTGAGTTGACCAAGTTTTGCAGTTAATATAGAATAGAACTAATATTCTGAATCCAAAGCCCCAGGTTTCATATATTATGCTACTATTACCTTTCTGGGTTCCTGAGTCTGCATTTAAATGTAACTTTGAATACTTCTCTCTTACTTTCCCATTGCCTATTATTTGAAGGCAAGAACTATGTCTTGTTCTTGTAGGACATGTTCTCTAGGACATGTATGTATACAGGTCTGAACCTATTTGTGTATTAAATTAATTATAGTTGAAAGGGAGGAGAGGAGTTGGGAAGCTCTCACCTAACAGACACAATGTAGGGGTATATGTTACACCTCTTAGGTAAAGGGCTGAACTGTAACTTGGACTTTACCTAACACAAACAATGTAACCTGGTTATCTGTACCCTTATATCAATCTGAAATAAGAAAAAATAATAATAATTATAGTTCATTTCAGTGTTCTTTTCTTTCGTTGCAAAAATCATGCTTCCCTTCTCTGAACCTTGCTTTCCCATTTTTTTTTTTTTTAGTAGAATGAAGCCCACTTGGTATATTATAAATAATAAAACTAGAACCTTAATGAATTTAACTTCTAGGATAACATTTTAGCAATATATTTAATTCACAAATATTTATTGCCTATGAAGAGATTAGGCGTAACGCTAGGCTACTGAGCTATGTTTGTACACTTTTCAGGAATATTCAGAATATATAAATATTCTGAATTTCCATATAATTTTTCTTTTTCTTTTTCTTTTTTATTTTGAGACAGAGTCTCACTTTGTTGCCCTCGATAGAGTGCTGTGGCATCCCAGCTCACAGCAACCTCAAACTCTTGGGCTTAAGTAATTCTCTTGCCTCAGCCTCCCAAGTAACCGGGACTACAGGCACCTGCCATGATGCCCGGCTGTTTTTCTGTTGCAGTTGTCATTGTTGTTTAGCTGGCCTGGGCTGGGTTTGAACCCACCAGCCTCGGTGTATGTGGCTGACGCTATAACCACTGTGCTACGGGAGCCGAGCTATCTTTTTCTTTTTTTTTTTTTGAGTCTCACTTTGTTGCTGCCCCCCACCCCACCCCTCATAGATTGCCATGGTATCATTGCTCACAGCAACCTCAAACTCTTGGGCTCAAGTGATTCTCTTGCCTCAGCCTTGCCCTCAGTCTCAGCTACTCAGGAGTCTTGCCAGCCTTGCCTCCTGAGTAGCTGGGACTACAGGTGCCCATCACAATGCCTGTCCATTTTTAGAGACAGGGCCTCACTCTTGCCCAGGCAGGTCTCAAACCCATGAATTCAAGCTATCCACCTGCCTTGGCCTCCCAAGTGCTAGGATTACAGGCATGAGCCAGTGCGGCCGACCTGAAAAATAAAAATAATATTAACTAGTATATACATCTGCAAAACTAGTACTTACAGATCCTCCTGGTAACTCCAGAGTTGCCAGTTGGGAGTCACTTCTATGGGATTGTGATATTGTCCAATATTACTCAGCATTGCCTTAGGAAGTTTCATGGGAGAAATTAACAGAGCCAATTGGTTTGAAAAAGTACACCAGATTCCTTTCTGAATCCCTGAATCTATCACTATTGCTTATACAGAGTGGCCATAAACACTTGTTTAAATTGCACATGAACTTGTATATAGTTAACCTCCAGATAGTATGTGTAGGTATGAATTGGAAACTTAAGAGTTGCAAATTTCTATAGGGACAGTATTAAAAATTACCAAATGACTGGATAATTCATGCCTCCTTACCTCTGCTCCCTCTTTTCAGAGTGGAGCTGAGACCAGTATCCTGGTTCTGAAGTAGGATCAGTTTTTATTGCTGTCCGTTAAAGGAACTTAAACACAAGTTATTAGAATTATTTCTAGTTGCACAAAATAGAAAGTTCATGTTTGTATATTTTAGTATGGGATTTTTTGAAATGTGACTTCTAACTGCTTTTTATATCTTTTTTTTAGATCTTTGTGGAATTTGATGGCTGTAACTGGAAGCAACACTCCTGGGTTAAAGTTCACGCTGAAGAAGTTATTGTGCTTTTGCTGGAAGGATCTCTCGTATGGGCACCCCGGAAAGACCCAGTCCTTCTTCAGGGCACTCGAGTCTCAATTGCACAGTGGCCGGCCCTGGTGAGAAACTAGTATTGGATAGGAACATATTTGAACTTTACTTCTGTGGTCTAACTATGGTATTTACCTAGTAGCAGAACTCTTTAGAATTCCCCCAAACTACATGCTATGTCCTTAACACACTTTTATTCTGAAGTTACCAAAGAAAAAATTAGGACAGAGCTTTTCTATTATGTTCTCCAAAACTTTTTATATTAGGTAATATTTGATACTAAAGAATATTTTTACTTTTGGTCTTTTCTCATAGCAGGATTTTGAAATAATGTTTGTAATCCTTAGTTGTTGGTTTTTTTTTTGTAGAGATAGAGTCTCACTTTATCACCCTCGCTAGAGTGCTGTTATGTCACAGCTCACAGCACCCTCCAAACTTTTTAAACAGGGAGCCAGTTCACTGGCGCCTATAGTACTAGCAACTTGGGAGGCTGAGGCAAGACAGTCACGTACCAGGTGTCCTCAAACTATAGCCTGCAAACTTTTTAAACAGGGAGCCAGTTCACTGTCCCTCAGAAAGTTGAAGGGCTGGACTGCAGGCCCCAGGACGAATCAGCTGCTAATCAGGACAGGCAGCGGTGGCGAAAATACCTGGCAGGCTGGATAAATGTCCCCGGTGGGCTGCATGTGGTCCTCTGGCCATACTTTGAGGACGCGTGGTAGGCGATTGTCTTGCCTCAGCCTCCCAAGTTGCTAGGACTATAGGTGCCCACCACAATGCCCAGCTATTTTTTTGTTGCAGTTTGGCTGGGGCCGGGCTCAAACCCACCAACCTCGGTATATGGGGCCAGTGCCCCACCCACTGAGCCACAGGTGTCACCCAATCCTTAGTTTTTTTAATTATCAAATTTTGTTTTGTGAAGTGAGACAATAGTGTTAAAAGATTTAATTATATGATTGTCCATTTGTTTCTGTTCTTTTAGCAAAGTATAGGCATAAATGGTAACTTTTTGGCTGGGTACCTGGTGGCTCATGCCTGTAATCCTAGCAGGCTGGGAGGCCAGGCTAGGAAGATTGCTTAAGCTCAGGAGTTCCAGACTAGCATGAGCAAGAGTGAAAACACTGTCTCTACTAAAAATAGGAAAACTAGCCAGGCATTGAAGTGGGCGACACTTGAGACTCTGTCTCAAGAAAAAGCTGAATATTATTTATTTAATTTGGTCAGCCACAGGAGAATTAAGGTTTTTTTTTTGAAGATTTTGGCCAGGGCTGGGTTTGAACCCGCCATCTCTGGCATATGGGGCCTGCGCCCTACTCCTTTGAGCCACAGGCACCACCCAAATCTTTTT